CCCAGCCCCAAAGGTCACCCCAGAGAAGGGGCGCGCTTGCGCGTCGGAGGGCCTTCCCGCCGGGTGGAGCAGCTCGGGTTCTTGACGATACACCACGTCTTGTTGAAGCCGTCGCAGGCTGGCGAGGGGCACCCCCGCACCTGGCCGGCGCCGTCCTGGCTCTCCCGCCACCTCATTCTAACCGTACCCCACCATCCTCGGTACGCACTCCCCCTGCTCATCACCCTTCCTCCCCCTCCTCCTCCTCCCCTCCTCCTCCTCCTCCTCCTCCTCCTCCTCCTCCTCCTCCTCCTCCTCCTCCTCCTCCTCCTCCTCCTCCTCCTCCTCCTCCTGCGCACTGGCGGCCACGCGGCGGTCTTGTCCGCCGTATAGGTCACTCTGGCGAAAGGTCAGTCTGAGGCGCAGCGGGCCTCAGCCCAAGCGCCCACAACCCCCCGAGGCCGCCCACTGGGCAGCCAGACCCCCGACGTCGTGACTGTTCCACAGCGTCGACGTCCAGAGGTCTGGACCCCCTCCCCGGGACCCCTCCCTCATCCTGAGTCGTTGTTGGACGCTTCCGAGGCCAGGTAGGGGCCCCCGGAGGCCGACGATAGCGAAAGGCACCCGTGATGCTTTCACAACGCGAGGGGGTCTGGGCCTCCTCCTACTCCTCCTCCTCCTCCTCCTCCTCCTCCTCCTCCTCCTCCTCCTCCTCCTCCCCCCCATCTCCTCATCGAAAGCACTCTCCTCGTCATCGTCACCGTCGTCGCTATCATCGTCGCCCTCATGACCACTGTCATCAGAAGCAGCACTGCCACCACCATCTCCGTCGACAACTTTAACCTCAACAGCAGCATCATCATCATCATCATCATCATCATCATCATCAATCATCATCATCATCATCATCATCATCATCATCAGCATCAGCATCAGCATCATCATCATCATCATCATCATCATCATCATCATCATCATCATCATCATCAGCATCATCATCATCATCATCATCATCATCAGCATCATCATCATCATCATCAGCATCATCATCATCTCATCATCACCATCATCACCATCATCATCATCACCACCATCATCATCATCATCATCAGCATCATCATCATCATCATCACCACCACGACCATCATCATCATCATCATCAGCATCATCAGCAGCAGCATCAGCATCATCATCAGCAGCATCATCATCAGCATCATCATCAGCAGCATTCATCATAATCATCATCATCATCGTCACCATCATCATCAGCATCAGCATCAGCATCATCTTAATCACCAGCATCATTATCATCATCAACATCATCCTCATCATCGTCAGCATCACCATCAGCATCATCATCATCACCACCACAACCACCACCACCACCACCACCACCACCACCGTCATCAGATTCATCGTCGTCACCATCATTATCACCACTACCACCCCCGTCATCATCAACAACAACCACACCAACTGGAACATCAACCCACCACTACCATCGTCATCAGAGCCATCACCCACACCGTCCTTACCATCCTCACCACCACCACCACCACCACCCTCCCCGCCCCCCTCCCCCCCCTGGGCCTGATTGCAACCCTTGTGGTGGGGCGAGCTCCACTCGTCCTCGCACACGCAGGCCTCCTCGGCGCGGGCGCGCCGACTGGGCCCCCGCGGCGCCCGAGGGAGTGGAGTCCAAGACGTCGACGTCGCCGCCCACACGCGGTCGAGGATCGGTCGATCGAGGATTGAATCGGGGGTCGATCGATCGTGGATTGGTTGATGATCGATCGATCGAGGTGTGTCCCGGCGCTTGGTCTCTGGGGGCCGCTTTCGGGCCCCAGGGCCGTCAGATGATGTTGCTTCGGAATGAACAGAGCTCCCCCTGGGGAGGAAGATAGCACGCGGTGAGGGCATTGGATAAGGAACCATTGGATAGTAGAAGAAGAAGAAGAAAAAACAACCATAAGCATAAACTTTTGCGCTCCGCGCTTGCGTTGGAACCCCCCTCACTGGCGCGCGGAGGGCGCCATGGGCGGCGCCAAAGGCGCCGCCGGGGGGCCCAGGCGCGGATCCAAGAAATCCGCGCGGAGCGCCACAAGTTTGTGCTTATGTGTGTTTTCATTTTCGAATGCGGTGAGGGTATTGGATAAGGAACCAGTGCTTATTCCCTACCTAGGCTCTGCCTAGAAGGGTTCTTACTCGGAAGCTTAAAGGGCCGGGCAGTGGGGCCCGCCCCGGGCGGTTCCCCCGGTATCCGCCCCGCGGTTCCCCCAGTTACGTCCCTTTAGCTTAGCGTTGCTTATCTCATCTTAGCTTAGCTTAGGTTCATCTTAGCTCAGGTTTATCTTAGCTAGCTTACCTTCATATTAGCTTCGAGGAGCTTTAGCATAGAAGAGCACAGCAGAGCATAGCATAGCGTAGCATAGCATAGCGCAGCACAGCATATCATAGCATAGCCCAGCATAGCATAGCATAGCGCAGCATAGGATAGCATAGCATAGCATAGCACAGCAGCCAAGAAAAGGCAAAGCAACAGCAGCGACAGCAAAGCAAAGCACAAGCAACTCAAAGCAAAGCAAACCAAAAACAAAAGCAAAGCAAAGGAAAGGCAAAGGAAAAACAATGTGCGACAGATGCCGAGCTAGCCTCGATGGCCGGACCAGAGCCCCCGCAAGCAGTGCCTTCCGTAACCATTTCGGCTCAAGTCCGGAGGCCCTGCCACACAGCCGCCCACGCATAGCATAGCCAAGCATAGCATCGCACAGCATAGCATAGCGCAGCATAGCATAGCATAGCATAGCATAGCATAGCATAGCATAGCGCAGTATAGCATAGCATAGCATAGCCTAGCATAGCATAGCATAGCCTAGCATAGCATAGCACAGCGCAGCATGACATAGCATAGCATAGCATAGCTTAGCATAGCATAGCATGGCATAGCATAGCATATCATAGCATAGCATAGCGCAACATAGCATAGCATAGCATAGCATAGCATAGTATAGCATAGCATAGCATAGCATAGCATAGCATAGCGCAGCATAGCATGGCATGGCATAGCATTGCATAGCATAGCATAGCAACTAATGCTGCTTTCCTAGGGGCTCCAACGGCTCCAACTTCTAGGTAGGGTCGCACTGGGGTAATGTGTGTTTTCATTTCCGAATGCGGTGAGGGTATTGGATGAGGAACCATTAGATGAAGGAGAGCAAGGTCCGGGAGCACCAACTGAGGCTTGGCCTTAGGTCGGGCATGTCCCCCTACAGGCGGATTCTGGACGATTTTGCTGTATGCAATTCAAAGTTCGGCACTTCCCCCCCCCCTGCCACCCTCCCCCCTCGATTTCGCCCCACCCCCCTCTGGAGCTTTGCTCTGCAAGGGAGGGGGGGGGGGGGGCCTCCTGCAAGGGGGGGGGGGCTGGGGGGGGGCCCTCTCAGGCGGGAGCGGGAGCTTCAGGGAAAGGCGGGGGGTCCGCTTTGCAGATGGGCGCTCTGCAAAGAAGGGAGGGGGGGGGACAGGAGAGGGGGGGGGGGACAGGAGGAGGGGGGGGACAGGGAGAGGGGGGGGAGAGGGAGAGTGGGGGGGGAACAGAAGAGAGAGGGGGAGGGGGACAGAAGAGAGGAGGGGGGGGAACAGGAGAGAGGGGGGGGACAGGAAGAGGGGGGGGGGACAGGAGAAAGGGGGGGAGAGCGGGATCATCACCATCTCCATCACCATCACCATCACCATCGTCACATCACCATCATCATCACCATCATCCGGAGTGCCCTGGATCGGCGGCACTGGCCGGAGGCCACTAAAGTATCACAAATAGTCGAACACATCGTCTCCAGACTATCTTTTGACTCCTATCCCTCCTGTAGAGGGACAGGCCCGACTCAAGGCTTGGCAAGGCTTGACCATGGATGCCACCGCCGCCCCCATCGGATGAGGACCCCCCGGGGTCTGAGGCCTGCAGGGGGGCGCACTCCTTCACGCACGTCCCCGCCGTAGTCCTCCTCGCCCGAAAAGGAGGACACTCCCAGGGCCTCTTGCAGACTTTCTTCGCCAGCGGCGAGGCGGCGAACTCCGCTCCGGCGAGAAGCTAGAAAGGGGCACGAACTAGCGAATTGGCCGGCGGGCAAAGAGAGAGGGGGGGGGGGACGGCCGAGAGGAAGAAGGGACGCGGACCTCCTGCATACAGACGACCAGACGACACCCAACCACGAAGGCGCAGCAGCAGAGGAGGGAGAGGGGAGGCGAGGGAGGAGGAGGAAGAAGAGGAGGACCCGTGCAAACCCAAGACCCATCAACGATGTTGAAATACATCCTCCCACCAAGATCCCTCTTCATAGGCCCCTTACAAGGGGTCAATTCCACTGAAGGAATTGCCCCGTTGGGGGACAACCGTGAGAACATCTTGAAGCGTGCCAAAACACCATTCTCAGGACTTCAACGCTCCGAATTAAACTGACTGTTACGTCTTGGCAATCCTGATTCGTGATAGAACACACTTCCTGGGACATCAACTCCGCGAATCAACGAAACTGTTACGCCCTGACAATGCTGAACAGTTCCAAAACACCGTCTCTGATACGTCAACCATGAGAGCCATTGAAGCTCTTACAAATTGTGGTGGAAAAAACGAATATGCGCGTTCAATCGGAAAGATACTTCCACCCGTTCTCGTTTTGAATAGAGCAGTGGGGTCGCCAAGTCCCTTCTTCTCCTCCTCGCCCCCCCCGCTCTCTTCTAAGCTCTCTCCTCTTGTATCTCTCTTGGGGGCCGCGAAGGATGAACTGTCGCAACTTTCGAGGGCTGCTGGGGGAGCCCGCACAGTAGGGCCACACGCAGATCCAAACGGGACCTCACCATCCCTGGGTGGCTGTAAAGTGTGAAACCTCGCCACTTTCGAGGGCTGCTGGGGGAGGGAGCCCGCAGAGTGGGGCACCACGCAGATCCAAACGAAACCTCGACTTCCCTGGGGAGCTGCGAAGTGTGAATCTATCGCCACTTTCGAGGGCTGCTGGGGGGGC